TTCATTAGTAACTTGTTTATTTGTTCATTAGTAACTTGTTTATTTGTTCTATGTTAAAAATTTAATCATTTGTAAGTTGTTGTTTGATTCCAACATCATATTTTCATTAGAATCAGTAAAACCTCCAGTAAATTTTGTTCCCGCTGCGCTGCCTGCATCTTTTTTCTTTCTTTTTTTTTTCTGCTGAAGTAAATTAAAATTTGTTATTAATGTATCGCTGCAGCCTGTTAATTAGGCCAGGCTCTGGGAGGGATTAGAATTGAGAGAATGTTTTAATTTCACAGAAACATCAGCAGCTGCCATCAAATTAGTCGCCAGCCTGATCTGATCTGTCGGAGCTCAGAGGACGTGTTGAGGGAGACTCTCAGCTTACTACCACCGGTTTGATCAGAATCTGTTGAATTTATTGAGTTTTTTCTGGTTGTGTGTTGCTCAGGCTGATTAGCTGTGGRGGCCATCTTGAAGGGTGCTAACTCTAAAAGTTAAGGAGCTGTAAGGACATATTTTGCTAACAGAAAGAATCAGATGGTGTTAATTCTGAATGAGTCTTTTCTGTCTCTGATGTTTTTCTGTTCTGCTGAACTGTTAAAGGTCAAACAGAGTTCCTCAGAGTTCACCTCCCGTCCTGTTTCTCTCCGCCGATCATTAAAGATTCCACTCGTTTTATTTCTCCTCRTCCCTCCCTCCCGTCAAAGATTCGGGGCTCGGTGGTTTTTATTATCTCGTCTCACTCGTCCTCCTCTGTTCTGTTGACCTTAACTCCTCATGTTAAAGGTCAGCTGCCTGCCTGCTGATCGCCTCATTTGGAAATTATTCTAATTAACAAGTCGGGCGGTTCTTTTGAAGCGTCCCCTCCGGCCCGGCTGGAGAAGACACATATTGACTCTCCAGGTTTGGTTCCTCTTTTGATGTCTCACTTTAAACTCTCAGACCTTGAGGGCTTTAATTAGAATAGAGGAGGAGGTCAGGATCAGGTCTGTAATCCCTGCTGGAGACCACCGACAAGGTTTTCACCAAAGACAAGGTGAGAGACATGATGAGACATGATAGGACAGTAAGATGATGAGACAGTGAGACACAGTGAGACATGATGAAACATGGAGAGACATGAGACACAGAGATATGATGAGACACAGACATGAGATATGAGACATGATGAGACAATAACATGACAGTGAGACATGATGAAACATGGAGAGACATGACATGATATGATGAGACATGAAAGGACGTAAGATGATGAGACATGATGAAACATGGTGAGACACAGTGAGATGATGAGACAGACAGTGAGACACTGAGACATGATGAGATATGAGATATAAGACATGATAGGACAGTAAGATGATGAGACAGTGAGAGATGAGACATGAGATACTGAGACATGATGAGACATGAAAGGACGTAAGATGAGACATGATGAAACATGGTGAGACACAGTGAGATGATGAGACAGACAGTGAGACACTGAGACATGATGAGATATGAGATATAAGACATGATAGGACAGTAAGATGATGAGACAGTGAGAGATGAGACATGAGATATTGAGACATGATGAGACATGAAAGGACGTAAGATGAGACATGATGAAACATGGTGAGACACAGTGAGATGATGAGACAGACAGTGAGACACTGAGACATGATGAGATATGAGATATAAGACATGATAGGACAGTAAGATGATGAGACAGTGAGAGATGAGACATGAGATATTGAGACATGATGAGACATGAAAGGACGTAAGATGAGACATGATGAAACATGGTGAGACACAGTGAGATGATGAGACAGACAGTGAGACACTGAGACATGATGAGATATGAGATATAAGACATGATAGGACAGTAAGATGATGAGACAGTGAGAGATGAGACATGAGATACTGAGACATGATGAGACATGAAAGGACGTAAGATGAGACATGATGAAACATGGTGAGACACAGTGAGATGATGAGACAGACAGTGAGACACTGAGACATGATGAGATATGAGATATAAGACATGATAGGACAGTAAGATGATGAGACAGTGAGAGATGAGACATGAGATACTGAGACATGATGAGACATGAAAGGACGTAAGATGAGACATGATGAAACATGGTGAGACACAGTGAGATGATGAGACAGACATGAGGCACTGAGACATGAGATATGATAAGACATGATAGGACAGTAAGATGATGAGACAGTGAGTCTTGATGTCTTTTAAGAGTCTTTATGTTAAAAACAAGTTATTTGATATTTGATGGCAGTGACTAAAGGTGTGACTTCAGGCCTATAATTGGGGGGTCATGCTCTCTGCCTGTTTATTTATTTATTGAATTGTTTACTTTTGTAAAACAATTCAGGATATTTTGAGGTTTAAACACATTGTAATGTTTTTACTTTGATTTACTTTCATGTTTTCTTTTTATTTACTCTGCACCTGCTCTGTTCCACATCAGTTCAACAATAAGAAAGTTTTACTTTTTTCCCCACATTTTCTCCAACAGTAACACATATTTTACATTTTTAGGATGTCAAACATAKCTAAATGTCTCCAATTTCCAGGAGTATGTATTTACCTGGTGCACTAAAATTTGGGTCGAAAAATGACAACATGATTCAACAAATCCAGCCATAATGTGACAGAGAAGACTAAAACCCTGCATTTTTAAGCAGTTTAAACATTCACATTATTACATCATAAACTTAACCAGTTCATTTCTATTGTGTTAGAGCAAATAATGTCTTTTTTTTAAAGGGGGGTGACATAACCCCCTAACCCCCCAGCAAGAAAAGTTGATTGAATCTGTTTAAATGATTTTTAAGAGAGATTCAGTGTTATCTCTGCACATTTTTATTATTGTTATTTTAAACATTAAACGTTCTCCTCCTTTCCTCAGAACAGTTCAGAGCAGAACCGGAGCTCATCTGATCCGGTGCCATCAGAACGCAGCAGCTGATACAATCAGATCCTCATTAGAAAATCTGTTGACTCTGATGTTAGTTAATTAGTCACTTAGTAGATTAAGCCTTTATTTAAACAGTCAGTCTGAGGTGGATCTCCTCTGCAGCGCGGCCCGGTGGGCGTGTGCACCTAAAGCACAAACACACACACTCTGTCAAGTGTTTCTCCTCAGCTTTAAACCTTTACAGGAAGTTTGTTCTCAGAGCTGCTTGTGTGTTTTAATAAACGATGTTAGAGGTTTTTATTCCTGTCATGGATCAGATGATTTGTTTCTTCTGATCAGGAAGAGAAGCTGCAGAGAGAAAGACGTGGAGCTCTGCAGGACCGGCGGGAGCTGGAGGCGGAGATTCAGGAGCTGAGAGTCGATCGCAGGTCAGTGAGGCTCCGCCTCCCCACAATCCTTCACACCGCAGCTAGTTTCACAGCCGGGACAGAGAGCAGAGACTTCTGACCAACATCAGGAATAGTTAATTATATCATACAACAGATAAAAAACAAAAAACAGGTGGATCCAGAGCTCACAGCAGAAGCCTCTTCAATGTTAACGCCAGGTTATCAATGCTAGTCACTAGCCTCTTCAATGTTAARGCCAGGCTATCCATGCTAGTCACTAGCCTCTTCAATGCTAATGCTAGCTTATCCATGCTAGTCGCTAGCCTCTTCAATGCTAATGCTAGCTTATCCATGTTAGTCACTAGCCTCTTCAATGTTAATGCTAACTTATCCATGCTAGTCACTAGCCTCTCCAGTGCTAATGCCAGCTTATCCATNCCTCTTCAATGTTAATGCTAACTTATCCATGCTAGTCACTAGCCTCTCCAGTGCTAATGCCAGCTTATCCATGTTAGTCACTAGCCTCTTCAATGCTAATGCTAGCTTATCCATACTAGTCGTTAGCCTCTTCAATGCTAACGCCAGCTTATCCATGGTAGTCGCTAACCTCTTCAATGCTAACGCCAGCTTATCCATGCTAGTCGCTAGCCTCTTCAATGCTAATTCTAGCTTATCCATGCTAGTCGCTAGCCTCTTCAATGCTAACACCAGCTTACCCATGGTAGTCGCTAGCCTCTTCAATGTTCCAGCTTATCCATGCTAGTTACTAGCCTCTCTGATGCTAAAGCCTGTTTATCCATGCTACTCACTAGCCTCTTCAATGCTAGTGCCAGCTTATGCATGCTAGTCGCTTGGCTCTCTGATCTAAAGCCAGTTTATCCATGCTAGTCGCTAGCCTCTATGATGCTAAAACGAATAGTCTACTTCTCATTTGCCGGCCTCTCAGTTAGCTGTGTCGGCCTATCATTAATCAGATCAATAGCTGGTTTAGGAATAGATATAGCCTCCTGCTACAAGAATGTAGCAACCCCTGGTTGTGCAATAGTCTTAATTTTGGCCCTCATGTCGTGCCATACTTTGAAGGCATGTAGTGAAATGCATTCATTCATTCACAGAATAAAACTTTTAAATGTATTTTGAGTTATTAGAATATTTCCTGTGAAGATTCTGTTTGTTCCAGCAGAATAAAGGAAAATAACTGCATAATATCTATAAACAAATCTGGTTTTAAAGATTAATTGAAAAGAGTTTAGTTTTGACCCAGACAGTTTTTTTCGTCGTTCTCCACGTCTTTCTTCTTGTCTCTCAGCTCTCAGGTCCTCACTCCTGACGAACCCGCCTCGCCGCCGCCTCCTGACGGCGTTTCTCCTCAGAAGCCGACCTCTCAGACCCGGACCCTCCAGGTCCGCCTGCAGCAGCTGTCCAAGGAGAAGCAGTCTGTGGAAGACCAGCTGCGACGGAGCCGGGAGGCGGAACAAGAAGCCACAGAGAACGTCCGCAGGTTAGATAGATTCTGTGCAGGTTTTCCCCTACATGTCATTGATCGTGGCGCACCGCCACGGCAAACATTATAGCTGCCACACTTTCAGAATAAAGTTTTTTCTTTTTTTATAATAGGCCTATGTTAGGCTAAAACAATGTAAAGCATATCATATATATTTATATCCTATATTTGTGCTCTTATACTAACCATAATCAGACTTTGAAACCCTATTTAAACATTAATGAAATGCCTTTATTTTGAAAAACCAACACCGCGGGTTCTTGTGTGCATGGAGCGCGAGCTACGAGCTAATGTAGCTAGCATAACGTCCCGCAACTTTTAACAAAGTAACCAGAGTAGTTTGTGAACTCAAAACACCATAAATCCAGGCAGAATGATCTGGTGTTAACCCACTGAGCTCCTCGCCCCTCTCTGTCACACACCATCCAGCCGGAGCAGAGAGACGCTTTCAGGGGTATTAACCCTTTAGGGCCTGGATTTAAYATGTGGTAAATAAATTATTTTCAGTGATTGAAAGGAAGGTTGTTTTTTGGATAATTGCATTTTTAACTGTTTTATTTTTTATCTACAAGAGTTAAAAGTTATTCTGAAGTGTTACAAATTTGTAGAAACAGGACATGATTTGAAGATTTTTACTGATAAAATTTTCTTTTAAAACATGTTACAGAAGTAATAAAAAGTAGGTTTATTTTGAATAAACATAAATGTGTTCATTCCTACAAAACTGCCAAATATATTTGTAAAATACACTAAACTGATTCTGATTAGCATAAAATAAATCATGTTTTATTATTAAATAACTAAAAAAAAAAGAAAGGAAAAAAATACAGCCTGTGACCACGGTAGGGGAAACCCTGTTGTATGCATCGATAAGTTCAGGTCACTGTGGAGATGTTTGTCCAGCTGTGAGCCTCAGAAACCGTTCAGCTCTCATCAGTGTCAGATTCATGTTTGTCCTGTAAAATATTAGTAACTTTTAGTTCCCGTTTCTCTGGTTGGAGTCCATCAGGCAGTTTGTGTTTCGGTGTGATGGAGTGGTTCTGCCCTCCAGATGGCGGAGGGTTAAACAGCTTACAGGCGGGGCGAGGGGGCTCTCATACAAGATTGAGGGGTTTACTCCTACATCTCTGCTCGGTCTCTAACCACCTCAGAGCCTCGCTCACCAAACGCTGCAGGCTTTTCCTCTGAAGTTGGGCCTCAGCTCCAGAACTAAAATGTGATGCACTTTGTCAGGATGCTTCGTTCAGCCTCCTCACAGCGAGCTAAACTTCGGCTGAGCTTTTATTTATTTAATTTTTGACTAACCGTGATGAAAGGAAGCCTCTCCAGGTCTTGGACTGTTAAGAGACCAGTAGGTGAGTCAAACTTTGACTCTGTTGGACACCAGACTTCATCTCATTTATTGCAGCTTGAATTGAGTATAAAGTTTAATCGGCTTCGATAGTTTCTTTCTGAAACTTAGGATGTGTACATGTTTTAGTCCAACCTGACYTGGCCATGGCAGCCTGAACTCCCAGCTGGTGAACACGTGATAAACGTGATGAACACGGCTGGCAGCAGCCTCTGCAGGCCTTCAGAGAGCGGTTAATGATGTGGGACTAAGAAGACTTTTTGGTGGTAATGATTCGTATTCAGCGGACATCAGAGAGCGTTTCCGCAGCCAAAGATGATCAAGACGAGCTAAGCCTTCAGATTTTTTTTTACTCAAACAGGATGATTGTCTGATTTTTGAATAACGTGACTCCTTCGACTGCTGCTGATCTCATCAACATGAAGATGAAGAGATTCATGATGAAACCAGCTTAAGTCTTCCCGTCTGCATCCCGTGCTGTCCTCCTGGGCTCAAACCTGGGGCTTTCTTCTATAATTTGGCTGCCAGCAGGGGTGGGAGTGTGTGTGTGGGGGGTGGGAGTGTGTGTGTGGGGTGGGGGGCTTCCTTCGAAGTTTCTGGGCTGTGATTCTTGTGAAGAGGAATGTTTGCTCTCTGATTGGAGGGACCCAGTTAAATCTGCTGTTTATTACAGATGGGAAGTTTAATTTGAATTGAAGAGGCAGAGAGAGAATCACTGACTGTTAGAAGGTCACCCCCTCCCCCATCACACACACACACATACACACACACATACACACACACATACACACACACACACACACACACACACACACACATATACACACATACACACACACTTACACACACATACACACTCACAGCAGATTTCTTCTCTCGTCACTTAACTGATTGAGAACTGCTGTAGTTTTTCCTTGATCCAAAAACTGATTTTTAACCAGTTTGGACCAACTGGGACAGACTAAAACCAGTTTGGACCAATTGAGAAAGACTAAAACCAGTTTAGACCAACTGGGACAGACTAAAACCAGTTTAGATCAATTGGGACAGACAAAAACCAGTTTAGACCAATTAGAACAGACTAAAACCAGTTTAGACCAATTGGGACAGACAAAAACCAGTTTGGACCAATTTGAACAGACTAAAACCAGTTTAGACCAATTGGGACAAACTAAAACCAGTTTAGACCAACTGGGACAGACTAAAACCAGTTTAGACTAATTGGGACAGACTAAAACCAGTTTGGACCAATTGGGACATACTAAAACCAATTTGGACCAATTTGTAGAGACTAAAACCACTTTAGATCAATTGGGACAGACTAAAACCAGTTTAGACCAACTGGGACAAACTAAAACCAGTTTAGACCAACTGGGACAAACTAAAACCAGTTTAGACCAACTGGGACAAACTAAAACCAGTTTAGACCAACTGGAACAGACTAAAAGCAGTTTGGATCAATCGGAACAGACTAAAACCAGTTATAACGTTATAAGTAGCAGAAGAGTAGCTAAAAGCTAAATATAGCAGAGCGTTCTTTGTTGTAATTTTCATTCTTGGTGTCATTTTTTATTTTATTTTTTTAACTTTCACTATTTTTAAACCTGTCAGTCCTCAGATTCCAGCGTCACCAGCTGTAAGCTACGGCTACATTAGCCACWGAACATCGACGGTTTCGGCACTGCTGCCTTTGATTGGATTAAATTTAAGGAATCGGTTGACTCTAAGGAACAAAGAGATTGTTTCAAAGTTAAACACAAACCAATCAGAAGCTCAGCTGAGCARGCTCTGTTTATTATCAACCATATTAAATTAAAAAATAAAATGTTTTTGTTTATTGATTATATTTTGATGATCAGCAGCTGAGACAATCATTACTGTAAGTAAACAGTAAATCTGTTGTTTGTTGTCATATTTACCATGAGAGTTTAATAATATTCTATTGGTACTGAACCTCTGTACAAGGCCCCGCCTATTTTTGGAGAAAGCCAAAATACTGGMTTAATGACAAAGACTAATAAGTTTTAATGTTTATCCAATGATGACTTCATTGAAAGTTTAATAAAATTAACACACTGGTTCATGAGTGAACAGGCAGTTACAAATCAACACTAAAAATAAAAAAAATAACATAACATTTTGATAAATATCAAGTGTCTGATAAATTCCTTCTGCAGTCAGAATCAAATAAGACTGAAAGGAATCTGGATTTGGAGTTATTACATTTTTCTGACACGTTTACATAGGCACATATTTATACAATTAAAATTTAATCTGTTTAATGACTGAATAAATTCTGCCAACAGGATTGTTTCTACAGACATCCATTCTAAAAGTATATATTAGAAATATCAAAAWGATAAAAATTTGTTGACGTACAGATTTCAAACCATCACGTCTTCTGTCTGAACTTCCTGCTCTTGAGCTGTATTTTAATTTAGCCACACCTCTGCAGCAGCACTGGAATAAACAGCAACAAACACCCTGATCATGTCATCAACTAATGGTCCAGAAAGCAAAAGGTTGATTTATCGTTTAATATTTATAATGTAGAAAATGTTTATTTATTTATTTATTTATTTTTTGTTCACTGCTGCAGGCAGGTTGTAGAGTTTCATCAGGCTCCATTTTATTTGTTAATTTTTATTCAGGTTTTATAAAACGTTTTAAAACAAGACCTGTTTGTTGTTAACATCTTTTTATTAGTTAGTAAATAATTGATCTTAAGATGTTATAAGATCAGATTTTTATTTTGTTGCATTGAAACTTACTGTTCAAACTGAATCACATCATTAATAAAAGGTTAGATTTAGATTTTTGCTGCTGGTGGATCTTAAATGATTAAAATCATTGATAGTTTATTAYGATACAGACTAGAGATGTTTGACCTTCAAACCAGCATCTCACTGAGCTGCAACTGTTAAATTTGTCGCAGGAGTCTCAAACCTGTCTTAATTTTGTTGTAGGAGTCTCAAACCTGTCTTAATTTTGTTGTAGGAGTCTCAAACCTGTCTTAATTTTGTTGTAGGAGTCTCAAACCTGTCTCAGTTTCAGTGTGGGAGTCTTGAACCTGTCTCAGTTTTGGAACACTAGTCTTTAACACGTCTCAACTATGTTGGGGTCTCTTGAACCTGTCACTTTWTTTACAGGGTCTTAAACCCATTTCAACCAGATGGTTTGGTCTTGTTTGTCAAATTTTGTTGGAGTCTCAGTTCAGCCTTTAAAACAGCCAAATGTCTCAGAATTTGCAGAAACTGCAGTTGAAAATGGTATATTTTTCTAAAGGTTTTGAGACYAACAGCTCAGTGAGATCCTGGTTTATTAACCTGCAGATATAAACGAGTGTTCAGTTCTGGYTTAATTGAATTCTTTCTTCTCTTCAGGTTGGAGCGTCTGGTCGAAGTGTTGAGGAAGAAAGTTGGAACAGGAAGTCTTCGTGTTATTTAATCTGTTTTTATTTTTCTGTTAGTCCTGTTTTTACCTGAACTGTCACAAAATAAGTATTTGGTACAAAGGTACAGTATTTTTTTTCTTGAATTTATTTAATGTTTTTAGTTTTGGACATTCAGAAAGTGTTGAACCGGTTTCTGTAAAATAAAATAAACTTTGAGTAAACATGTCTTTAAAGATTGCAAAGGWTTAATATCCAGATGATCCATTTTCTTCTTTATGTTGTCTTTTATCTTGTTCTGCAATTTTTGTTCTATTTTAACAATTCATGTAMGAAAACGTTCAGCTCCTTTAGGAATTTATACTTTTTGAGATATTTAGTCTTTTTCAACAATTTTRGTTCTCATTGAAAATGAATTGAGCTGTTTTAAACATCTTTAAACATGTAAACATTTTACCTTTTGTTCTGGTTTTGTTTTTTCTTTTTTTTCAGCTGTCTTTCTGCTCTTTTCAACTGTTCTACTTTTTTAATTTATGTTGTTCTTCCATCAGCTTGTTTTTGAAAAAAATGTGATTTTTTTATGCTTCTTTCAGCTGTTTTCTGCAATTTAAGCTACTCTTTTTAGCTATTTTCATCTAAATTCTTATTGGATAATTCAGCAAACATGCTTATTCTGCTTCTTACTCTAGAATCAGCTTTTTCAGCTACTTTTCTGCTTATTTCAGATTTTTCGGCCATTTTACAACAAATTGCAAAAATATTTCTACATSTTTTTCTTCAAACATCTTTCATTATTAACTGTTCAAACTCTAGTTAACATTTTTATTTGTTCTGTTGATTTCAGTTTTTCTTTTCATGAATTTCCAGTTTTGACACATTAATAAAACTTTTTGCCCCAAACAAATAAAAACTTTAAACGTGTCTAAATGATTAAAAGTTTAGCAGAGCTGTAATAAAATCATTTAATGAAATTATCTGTAAAATGTTAACAGGATACTGCAAAGTGTTATTTTTTTGACTTGTTTTAGCTGAACATTTTTGGATTTTGAAGTATTTTTCAATCAAACAAGAAGCTGAAGTAAAGTTTGATATTTGTTTACAAAATGTAATTTTCTGTGACGTTGACGTGTTTTTAAATATAATTGTAAAAGTTTAACTCTTGTCTTAAAGTAAAAGATTTGCCTGAATCAGTTTGAGTCCAGTTTTTTTGCTGCTCTTTTCCTCTCCTGTCTCTTTAATTGAAGATCAGTTTACTTTGTGGTTCTTGTGTTGATTTAAGGTTCGTCTCACTTGTTCGAAACAGAAAAGCTGCTCGGTTTAATTTCAGAGGATCATTGTGACAAATGAGAGGAAGCCACTCTGACTCTTAAAACTTCAAATTAAAATTTGACTTTGACAACTTTCAACAGCTCGGCTCTACTGACACTTTAAAACAAGTAGAGGGAGTTTCCTCAGATTTAATCTGTGCAGATGAAATTATTTTATTTCTGATCAGCAGATGCGTGAGTTTTATCAGACGATCTCTGGGTCTCTGCTGCTGTCAGGGTTGTGGAGGAGTTTTGGCCCACTTTTTATTTTTTACAGCGTTGCTTCAGTTCATTGAGGTTTCAGGTCCATGACGGTCCAGGTTCTAGACTTCAGACTTCAGACTGTAGACCAAAAAAACTTTTTGGTCTACAGAAGACTTCCTGGTCCACTCACCAGACCGTA